GCGTGGCCCAGGCGGGAGATAGAGCGGCGGCTCCAAAACCCTCTTTGGCAACATTCCACACAGTTGGCGCCGCTGTCAATCAGTGGGCGCCGTCTCGTGGAGCCGGCCTCTGTTGCTTCCTCCGTCCAGCCGTGGCGAGACTGTCCTTTTGGCACTAATCCGGCGTGGCGAATGACCCGCTGGGTCAAGGCATAGCTTGATCGCTACAACAGTCACAGTTCGCGAAGTCACGGGCGCTGAACGCTCTTGGGTTACCATGGCTGCATCCACCCGCGACACTTTGTTCTAATGTGCTATAGCCGCTGTGCTCGGGCAGGTAAAACATGAAGTAGACGCCAGGCAAGACGTTGGCCAAGGCATTCGCAGGTGGTTTTGCTCGCCGCGTTCGAGAGTGCAGCAGCTGCAGCTTCAACCGCTCTGCAGGGCACCGTCGATCGCTTCCCTCGAGCTTGTGTCCATAGCACCGATCACTGCAGGATGATGCCGGTGCTAGGGGTGATAGTGGCGTTCCAAATCCCCCAATTCCAAATCCCCCAATTATAATAGGTATTACTATAAAGAAAATCATAATAAATGCATGAGCAGTTAAGTCACCAGGACGCTTTCTAAGGTCGCCAATTTCAGCCAAAAGTCACTAAATAATGATGATGATCATTTTTTCCTCAGTATTTTGTTTTGCACTTGATAAAGCACGTGAAGAGATTTTTTTAGAGAGAAAAAACTTTATTGAACACAATGGGCCGGTAATTTGGTCTCGGTGACTTTAGGTAGTGGTTCGTAGTCCCTGGACTCGGGCGGCATCCTCGGCCTGCCGGATGGCCCAGAGTTAGTCGTTCAGCTCTGGGCTTTTGAGGGCCGCCTCCCAGCGGCAGCGACGCCGACGAAAAAGGTCCCCCGCGGCTCCAACAGCCGGGGCGGCGGCAGGAACGAGTGAGCACGAGGCTCCCTGTGATTTGGTATTGACAGCCGCTATAGGCGCATCGCGACTAGTGGCGTCTTCACGACTGTCGTCGCCGGCACATTCCCAAAGCATGTGGCTCAGTGTTGCTCTGAGCCCGCACGCTTTACACATACCGGTGGGGTATAGGTTCGGGTAGAGGTATCGTAGAACGACCGGGCTAGGGTAGGAATGAGTTTTGGAGTAATGGAAAGATTACGGCATCACGCCTGTTTAATTTTTCGTGTGGTGCCGACGACAAATCAATACCTTTTGTTGCGAATGAAGTTGAGCTGTGCTGCCACCTCCCAGCTACGCCAGTGTGAACTCGTGAACAGCTGTAGTCCACGTATTTGCAGGGAACCGTGGGCCGTTCAACTGAGCCATTCGGAGCCACTTTGCCCATCTCTAACTGGAACTATAGTAGAACAGGTGTGCTCGGAACGGCCACATTGCACGCTAAAGATCGCAGCGCTGCAAGCAGCTTCATCTTGTATGCTTTTACCCCATTTACTGAAGCTTGTTCTGAGCATTCCACTGTTCTCACATTTTCCCAATTATGATTGTCTGTCGTAGAACACTCTACCTCAACTTTGAATGTCCCCAGCAATGTCGCCAAGACACCAGGAACATAGAACTCTCGCTAGCACGACTGAATAGACGCTAACTTCCGTGACTTTCTCGCTAATAAGTCAAAACCACTGTGTGGCGGTCCACCACTTGCAATGAGTCGAACCTGAAGAAGTTTGTGCCTCGAGTCCTTGTGCTCGAGGGCAGCAAATTGCAAAGACACGCCAAGAACAAAAACCAGCTCAAAACGTGCAGCGTGCAACTCAAGCAGAAATCACTCAAGACATACACATATACAAGGTGCGCGCGGAGAAAAAGGCAAACATATGTGATTCTAAGGACCGTAGCACTTATAAGGCTGCGCTTATGAGCACCTACCCCTTTGGTATCGCCTGGCGCGCCCAGCTACCGCGAAAAAGGCGTGGATTCTGAAGGCGGTGCACGCCACGTCTGACAGCAGAGCGCATGGCATTCCAGCGCGCGCATGTTTTAAAAGACAATATTCTTTTTTTGGAGACCTTCGGCGCAAATATTTGGTCTCCCTGTCTTTCTGTCTGTCGGTGGACCTGTCTGTTTGTCCACCGAAACTATTCCCGTAACGGCCAAAATTCTTCCACATTTACAGAGCCCACCAATATTCCTCAAATTTCAAGTTCACACTTGTGCGATTGGCAATTAAAAAGCAATTATTGTTCACATCTGAGGCATATTAACACGTCAGTATTCTGTATATGTCTTCATACTACAAAAGGCATACATAGGTTATTTAAAGGACCGTAGCGTTTATCATGCAGCGCTGACAATGCAGCGCTTGCACGAAAAGGCAAGTGTTTCCAACGCTTTGCTAAGACGACACGGTGGTAGCACTTACCCGTAACCTTGCGTTCTACAACTTATCGCCTCCGAGACGGGCGCGCACGCCGCGCGCTTCGTTTTCCTAGATAACTGCCAGATATCGCTCATGTCTCACGTGTGACTGGCCTTGACGCACTCGTTCGCCTCGGCTGCACGCTCGAGGCACTCTAATGCCTAGTTCACAATGAAACATCCGCTTTCTACAGCGACCGAAATTCCCCTGCCGCCGAAACGTAGCGTCGTTCGCACTGGACGCGCCCCGCGCCGCCGACTATGCCATCTACTACGGGGCGAACGCGGGATGAATGCGCTGTCAGCCGCTTGTTGTCGCGGCTTGCAAATGCTACTACGCTATCCGGTGGTGTATACTTCGACGATTCTGTACGCAAGAAGCAAGAAAAGACAGTACTGCTTACTTTGCTGGCAAGTGGCTGTCTTGTAATGCACGAAGAGCAGAAAAACCACCGACGCCAGCGGCGTTGGTGGGTTTGTTTTGCTCTGCAAGACCGCAACAAGCTCGGTCACGCCAACAGCAAGCTCGGTCACCTCTTTCACGAAATACGGAGGCGAAGTAGGCACAGAGTAGGTTAAACTCCCGTTGGTTTCAACATTCAGTTACGTGCACTGCGGCATAACAAGTTAGTAGGGCTTGGCCGCCATTTCTCAAAATTCCTCGACTAGCACTCCTATTGGTCCGCGGTGACCGATTCGGCCGCAGACACCGCAAAAATCGGTCCGAGAGCGATCGGCGCGGAGAGGGCCCTTTCGGCGGAACTCGCCGCTGCCGAACCGGATTCAGAGCACTTTCGGCGGCCGGAATGCTCAGTGTGAACGCTGCCTAACACAGCGCCTCCAGAATAGCATTCAGCAATTTTCTCACCCAGAACACAAAATAAACGTTTTGTTCACTCTCTCTAAACGCAAGATTGTCATCTTTCGACAACATTTGCAGTGTAACATGGAGATACGGGGTCAATGTTTTCTTTGCAATCTGCTGATATATTTTCGAAAGTCTCATTCGGGACGCTAATACCTAAGCGGAACCATGGCGAACCCCGGCATTAAACATTTTCGTGCTTAAATAAGCGCGTGCGGCCAGCTGCGGTGTGCGTCGGTTGTGAATGTCGGGAGAATGTTTGTGCACGCGACAATGTTGTTGGAGGCTTCAACGCTAATCTAAGGGAACATACTCTGACACATGATGCGACAGTGTGCGCGCACACGCACTATATATATATATATATATATATATATATATATATATATATATATATATAGTCCAGTATATCCTCCGTGATTGGCCACAACGTGGTTTATTTCGACGTTTCGGCCTACACTCTGGCCTTCATCAGGATGAAGGCCAGACCTGATCCTGATAAAGGCCAGACTCTAGACTTTGTGACCACTCACGGAGGATCTACTGGACAACATGCAACGCTACGGCCACTCAACCACCATTCCTGGCTATATATATATATATATATATATATATATATATATATATATATATATATATATATATATATATATATATATATATATATATATATATATGATTGATAGCGAGTTTATCCCCTAACTACTTGCTAAAGGTTTCCGATGAATATAATGAAATACTACCCTCAGTCTGATCCGAGGTTTTGTCTTTATGGGGTTGTTATTTTTACTTGGCCAGAAGGGCGCACAAAGACTTCTATCGGGTCGGGGAAATCGTGCGGTACATGACAAGCCATTTTCTTTCATGTCGGCTATATTTACTTACATTGTAGAAGTCCACATTGCGGAAAAATATCATTCGGTTGTTAAATCGACGCGAACCTCATCGGTTGAGCTTTCCAACACAGAAAAAAAAATCGCAGCTTGCACAGAGTCGAGCAATGCTGGCGCAGGGCGGAGCTGGTTGGTGCTCGGCTCATAATGGCTTTTCTATGAACACGTGCATTCACACGCCAATGAACGAAGTGTTCACGTAATCACATTGCATTTGCCGAGTATTGCCTAGGTATTGATTCGGTTCCACAAAGAATCGCCCGGGCATTGCAGTGACGTGCACCCTAAAACCAGAATTGGCTCAATTAACCTGACTTGCATATTAGAAATTTGACCTACAGCAGCTTGCATTCCAAGTCAATATAGGTCTAATAATAGTTTCATTAGCGCAACCTGCTAATAAACGTAATGTCTTTTTCCAGGGCTGGCCTTAGGTAGCTTGATTTCTCGCCAACCTAACCTTAATGTGATAACCGGCCGAGTGAACTCACTGGGCTCAGCTTTTATTAGTATTATTTAATTTAACTCACTGGGCTCAGCTTTTATTAGTATTATTTAATTTTAACTCAGCATGACTTCGCTCGGAAGACCAAGCTAAGCCGTCAAGCTGTGTGTTCTGGGCCATTTGATTTCTTTCCTTTTTTTCTTGCTGTCACACAACTCCCAACTGCGGGTGATACGGAAAAAGAAAATCCACGTGGCACGCAGTAAAACACTTGTGAAACAAACCCCGATGTCCGGGAAAGCTTGATCTGTCAACAGATATAATCATGCATTTCTATGCCTAGATTTTCCGACATGTTATATGCTCGCGAAAAAGATGAGTCAGGAGCGAAAAAAAAAAAACAGAATCTGGGAAGGCCACGGCACCCAACTATATATAATTTATTCTGACGTTGACTCCTCAAAACTTTCCACTAGGACATAAAAGTGATAGGTTAACATAATATTTCTGCTTCAGAAAATAACTTTATTGGAACAATTACCAAGAAACAACGTTGTACGTTCACTTGCTTGTACAAAAGAGCCGGCACACTTTACACCGGGGGAAATCCTGAAACAAAAGAAGAGCAAGATGGATAAGGTTACTCTCTGTAAGTAGGCGCAACAAAATGTCGCGAATTGAAAGCAGCCGTTTCCCACATAGCCTAACAAGAGCACGCAGTGGTGATGCACAGTTCCACAAATACAGTATTTTTTGCGACAATAATTGGAATTCTGGAGCGTATTTATTTGGAATGCTCGGTGTATTCAATTCTCAATACTGAAGAGATCATTGTTCCTATGCAGTTCCAACAATGTTCTTGTGAGCCACCTCTATTTTTTTTCTGAACCATTAGAAATCTTTTCGCAATATTGCGAGACACAGAGTATGTTCTTTGAGAGTTTATTGTTGAAATGTACAGCTTTGCTGCAGGAAATTACTGTTACGACGCTCTCTGGAAGGTTTCAGTAAGTTATCCGTCTTGGATATGATGAGCCCTCATATTACTTTTTTCTACCTGTATATACTAGATGAAGTGTCTCGTGTGAAATTATCAAAGTTCACAGAAGTTCGACTGTATGAACATACTAACCAATCACGTAAGCCTAGTTTAAAGAAAACTAAATCAAAACATGTGGACGTTGATTGTTGATATAGCTCTCTTGAAACTTTTTAGCTCTTGGTTTCAGCCCACGAAGTGCCTTTCTGAAATAAAATCTTTCTTCAGTTGTCCGGACACCATCTACGCTATTCAACGGCTTGTGTATGAGAATGGCCTTCCGACGTAGCATTCTCCATGCCTACGCTGCCACACGAGTTGGTGCATCAATTGACACCCTGCAAAAACTAAGCTCGAGTGCTTTCATTTTCGGCATGTATTAAACCTAGATGTGACGATTTCGTTTTATTTTGTTTTGTTATGCATTCTGACTGTATGGGCTCACGTGTGCGTAGCCTCTCGCTGAATAATGTGGTGAGGCCGTACTATTGTTCCAGAGTTTCCCACGGAGCGCGCGAATCGATCACACTTCACGCTGCCCCAAGACCAGGATGTGAAGGAAGCTGTAGTGGAGGGCTCCGGAAGTTTTAATCATATGCAGTTCTTTCACGTGCTCCCAAAGCTAACTAAGCACAAGGGCCTCTAGCATTCCGCCTCCATTGAATTTCGCCAGCCACAGCCGGAGTTAGTCCCGTGACCTGAGGCTCACCAATTTTTTACCGCCGTGGCAGGTAATCTTACTTTTATTGCAAGACACATTCATGCAGCAAACTTACATATTAAGATGAGGTTGCAGCCTTAGACGAAGTACATTGAAGTCTGGAGCTTGTCGAGGACGCGGACAGCCTCCACGTACTGAATGGTGGGGACGTTGTCCCCGCTGCCTCCCGAGGAGTCACTGCCGGAGCTGGCCACGTCCACTTTGCTCACAATGTGAGTCTTGGCCCGAAAGGCCGCCAGGTGCGCGTAGTATACGGGCGCCGGGATGCTGACGCTCCTGGCACAGCGGGCGTACGTATGGCACAGATAGTAGGTCAGCCTCTGGAGTTCGTCAGCCGTGAAGTTAGAGTCGTCCCAAACCACGTAGTAGTGCGCAGGACGACTTGTGCCCTGCACCGCACAGGAGTACCACTCTGATAAAGACGGGCCACTCTTGGCGTATGCCCCCCCCCCCCCCCAATATACAGGGTGTCCCAATTATCAAGCAACATTACGTTTATTAGCTTGTTGAGCTAAATAAACTATAATTAGACTGATATTGACTTGTGATGCAAGCTGCTGTAGACGAAATCTCTAATATGCAAGTCAGGTTAATTGAGCTAATTCTGGTTATAGGGTACTTGTCACTGTTAAGCCCGGGCGACTCCTTGTGGAAACGAATAAATACTGGGCAATACTCGGTAATCGCGATGTGATCACGTTAACACTTCGTGCATTTGCGTGTGAATGCACGTGTGCCTAGAAAAGCCAGTATGAGTCGAGCACCGACCAGCTTTTCCCTGCGCCAATATTGCTCGACTGTGCAAACTGCGCATTTTTTTTTCTTTGTCAGAAGGCTCAACTAAGCAGGTTCACGTCAATTCAACAACCGAATGACATTTTTTCACAATGTGTACTTCTACAATGCGAGTAAATATAGCCGACATGAAAGAAAATGGCTTGTCTTGTACCACACTCTTTCCCCAACCCGATAGAAGTCTTTGTGTGCCATTCTAGCCAAGTGGAAAAAATCACCCCATAAGGACAAAACGTATGATTGGACCGAGGGTAGTATTTCATTATATCTATCGGGAAAACTTTAGCAAGTAGTTAGGGGATGAACTAGATAACTAGATATCAATCATATATATATATATATATATATATATATATATATATGTGTGTGTGTGTGTGTGTGTGTGTGTGTGTTCGTTTGTGAGGTGTGTGTGTGTGTGTGTGTGTGTGTGTGTGTGTGTGTTTCAGAATATGTTTCCGTAGTTGAGCATCGAAGCCCCCAACAACATTATCTCGTGCACAAGCATTCCCCCGAGGCACACCATCGCTGAACTCTCGTGCTTTTTAAACACGAAAATGTTTAATGCCGGTGTTCACCATGGCTCCGCTTAGGTATTGCATCCTGGATGTGAATTTCCAAAATATATCAACTGATTGCGAAGAAACAATTGGCCCCGTATCTCTGTGTTACACTGGAAATGTCGACAGACGACAGTCTTGCGTGTGGAGAGAGTGAACAAAACCTTTATTTGTTGTTTTGCGCAAAAAAATGGTGAATTGTATTCTGGAGGCGCTGCGTAAGAGTGTCTCGAGCGTGCAGCGGAGGCGAACGAGTGCATCAAGTCAAATCACACGGGACACATGAGCGCTATCTGGCAGTTTTCTTAAAAAACGAAGCACGCGGCATGCGTGCCCTTCTCTGAGGCGATAAGGTGTAGAATGGAAGACGACGGGCAAGTGCCACCACCTTGTCATCTTAGCAAAGCGTTGGAAACACTTGCCTTTTCGTGCAAGCATTGCATGATCAGCACAGCGTGATAAACGCTACGGTTTTTAGAATTACATAAGTATGCTTTTTCTAGGAAAAGATACACATACAAAATATTGACGTCTTGTTATGGTGCCTCAAATATGCGCAATAATTCCTTTTTAATTATTCATTGGCAATCGCACGAGTATGAACGCTGAATATTGAGCAATATGGGTGTGCGCTGCGTCGGGGGTCGGCCGTTTGGGGTATCGTCTGGTGCCTTCTAGGGTACGGTTAAGGGCGGACAAACAGACAGACCAATACTTTGGCGTTGAAAGTCCCCCCAAAAAGACTATCGTCTATAAAAGTACGGTTTGCATTATCTTTCACTTCGTGTCCGAAATTGGGTTACTTCTGCAAGCACACTTGCTTGGTACCCACTAGGGACATAATAATAAACTTTTCGGTAGTAGGCCGGCGTTCGCTATTTTTCGTCATTATTCTGAGAAGCGTGGTATCCGCTAAACACTTTCGAGGAATTTCGTGCCAATTGTCCATGCCGTGGCTGGCGACGATGAGGAATTATGGCTGTAGTAGGCATGCGCCACAGTTAATAGGGAAACAGAACACGCTTTTTTAATGGGTTAGAGCATTGGATGGCCCACTCGTTATGCTAATCACATTTTTCGACGACAGGTTGCTCTTTCGCAGTTTTAAAACGGTTTATAAGTCGTAATAACGCGATTGCTTCCCCTACATATGGCGTGCCTAAGGCGAGTTTGACAACAAGTTACAAGCACCGGCGTAAATCAGGGGTAGCATATTGGGCTGGCTCCCAGTGGACCCGGGTTCCAGCCCCACTGTGCTATTGGCGCAAGATTGTTTTCCAATTTCACGCGATGTGGTTACGGATGGCGGCGGCGGCGGCGGACAACATGCAACTGCGTGTGGCTTTAAAAGTGATCTATAACAGCTTTAGCTGTAAAAACACACCACTGTGATCTTATATAGAGGCAGGCTCCTATCAGAAAAGTGTTCCAGCCGCTTTAGCGTTGAAAACAGTAGGCCGTATGATATGGAAAATGATAGCAACGCACAATCAATTGAGAGGAATCCCTGTACGAATCTGGCACATGTTGGCGCTTGACCTTGAAACGTGCGGAACGCTACCTCTGGCAACAGAAAAGAAGCAAAACAGTTGCTTGCAGTGGGCTAATTTGAAAGTGGTATTTTTTTTTCGCGAGTGGAAGTGCAGTCACGTGTTATTTTCAATTTTTCACGGGCATTCTGGGATAAAAGGAAAAAAAATTAGCGTACAATAGGTACGTTCTTGAAAGTATCAGACAGATGGCGTTTCAATGTGAGCATATCTGCTTAATTGACATTTAGAAAAATATGCGTGTATTTCTGAGTTGCTTATACAGTTATGACTAATCAATTCTCATTAGCGAAAAATGAGTAGTTCTTACTACACTACCCTGGGAGCAATATGCACTAGGTTTGGTTCACGTAACCGTGTTCTAATTTTTTTTTACTTTGTGCTGCGTGATGATTGGAACTCCCTGTATATGTGTGAAAAGTAGAGACCCTTATTGTCCTCTTTCTCAAGGTGCGTTCGTGTTTTCGTAGGCTTGCCTTAAGGTTCTTACTTGAGTCCCCTTAGGGGTGGTGAGCAAAGCTTCATTGCAACCCCCCCCCCCCTCCACAAACAAGTGTTGGGCAAGGCCAAGAGAAATCGTGCTTAACAACGAAAAAAAAGTAGGAATGAAGCGTTGATGTTAATTTACAACGCACTGGAGGTCCACATGGGCCCAGGCCGGATGGGCAAAAATGACAAAATAGAACAATTTAAAAGGCTAGAAAAACACGCAGAGACATACATTTCAATTTCAGCGTTATACAATACAATTCAATGAGGTCCATTGATTCAACTGAGTCAATCAACGATATTGGCAGTACATTCTATTCATTAATAGTGCGAGAAAAAAGACTAAGGTGTTGGTTCTTGTTCATATGGAGTTTAGGACTCAGAGTGATGATGTCTGGTTTGGCTTGTTTCTCAAGGTCGTAGAAATAGAGCAGGTTGAAACAAGAATTGTTTCTAGAAGAGAAAAAAAATTGAGACCGAGTATTTTACGTCGTGATTTCGATTTTTTTATACAATGAGAGCTTTTTGTAAGTCGCTGATACGGAATATAGAAAAAAAAAAGAAACTAAATCTAGCAGTCTTGCGCTGAACCATTTTTAGTGCATAAATATTGTGGTTGGTGCGAGCATGCCAGACGGTACAAGCATATTCCAACTTGGGCTTGATTAATGCTTTTTATGCATGAATCTTGGCTTCTGTGGGTGCCTGTTTTAGTTTACGTTGCGTAATACAGAGCTTCCGAAAATAAGAAGCATTAATTTACTAATATAACACTCCGAACTTAGGTCAATAGTTATCACTTTCAAAAATATACCTCATTCGCCTCAAGAAGGGGGTATGTTGGGAAAATAAGGAAACAACCACCTATGTATTTTCTTCATTTGGTGCATGCCTACTGTTTTTGTTTCATTTAGCTTGCTGCCCCATTGTTTGCACCACGAATGAATTTGTGGAGGTTAGTGTTCACAAGTTCCTGGTTTTCTCGACAAACAACCTCATGATACAATAAACAGTGATCTGCAAATATTCCAATTTGGACTGGACTTGTGATACCGTTAAGGATGTGAATAATAAACATCAAGAACAGAAACGGTCCCTGTACTCTACATTGCAGTACCCCCGGAATGAATGGTGAATGATGTCATCGGGAATCATTAATAGAAACCGACTGAGTGCGTTTGTGTAATTAAGCAGAAATCTAATTGATGATAAAATAGGGTAGACCAATGTTAGTTTCCAAAGTGGCCTTTCATACAACAAAACATTGAACTCTTTGTGAAAATCCCACAAAAAATACGTCAGTTTGTCCAGCTTTGTCAAGATTGCTTGCAAAACTGAATTACTGTGGTTAGTTGCGTCGCCGAAGAAAAGTCCTTATTCACCTATGCTGAAATGCAGAAACGATGTTGTCTGTTAAAAATTGATAATGTAATCGGCAACAATGTGTTTTAGCATGTTACAGCACGAACAAGTTAACGAGATCGGACGATAGTTCGTAATCAGTGAAGTGTCTCCTTTTTTTTGTGTACCGGCACCACAAGTGCCATTCGCCTGTCAACAGGTAGATCTGAAGATGATAAACGTGCACGAAACATATACGCAAAAAAAAAAGCGGTGATTGCTTCAGAATATTGCTGAAATGCATTTCAAAAAGCCATGAGGACCAGGTGATTCTTTTGTCTTTAGGTTAAAAATCACGACAAAATCTGGTAGCAATACACTATCTTCGTAGTTTGAGCTAGATACAGGGTTAAGACTAACAGTTTTTGAAGGAATAAGAAATACACTGCAAAAACACACATAAAATGTTCCGCAATGTCATCATTGTCATCAACACGAATATCATTGATTTGAATCTCATTAACACAATTTTTTTTAGTTCTAGAAATCCCAAAACTTCTAAGGGGATTCTCTTAGGAAATTTGATAAACTATGTTGAAAATAGTGCCTTTTGGAATGTTTCAATATTTTGCTAAGAGCAATAAGAGCAGTATTAACAATGTCTGTAGATGATGTTCTTTTTTTTAAAACATTTAGGCTCTATTTTTAGGTGCAAGACCTGTCCCTTTATACAGGGATTAGATTTTTTGTTTCATTCCCACTGTTAGGTAGGAAATTATTGAGACAATAAATGAATCTGTTTAAATCGAACCCAAACGTTACTGACATCCGACCACTAAAAACTTCTGAACATTTGTTCGAGATAATCTGAAACCTTGTCATCCCTAGCATGAGAGAAGTATTTCCCAAAATCATTTTTTAGAAGCTTCCACAATGGCCTGCCTTGGGTCCTAGGCTTTCTAGGAGTAAAGATGGGAAGTATGTGTTGTTGAATGCCCCCATCAAGGGCCTTCGAACGCCATTATTGTCCAAAACCTTCGTCGCCTTTGTTGAATAAACAATGCACCCCCATCTTAGGTTCACAAGGAGGGGGGGGGGGGCTCTGCCTCTACTTATTCTCGTGCGTATGTCACGCGCAAACCCTTGTGCTTCTTTGCACTCTCCACGGGTGAGTGGGAAGCACAAAGAAGCTCAAGAGCGTGCGTACGCAAGCAGATTGTCATCCCTGGCACTAACTTTTGGTGTTTTTTCAGTTTTCGTGGTACACTACTCGCTTTATTCTATTCGTCAGCCGCAGCCATAGAGAATACAATGGAGCGTAAGCGCTTGAGTAGGCAAGCCACCCTGAAGCCCCTGCGCTAACATTCTGTCAAGTTTTAAAAAGTGACTTGCGTGCCCAATCTATCGCTCACATTTTTTACTCTCCATGAGTGCGTGCCTGGCAACCGGAGAAGGCGAGGAGAATACGAAAGTACAGAATAGCTCAGTAAAAATACAGCCACCACTAAAACTCCAATGCTCTGACCCATAGCGGCCTAGCTGGCGGCATGACATCATGGATAGTGAAAGCGTCTCCTGGAGTGTTTAATTGAGCGCAGCACCATGTCCGTCCGAAAAAGGAGCACCTCTTTTTACGAGCATGCCCATGCTTACCAGCACTTGCAGCCAGAATTGACCAAAGTAGCTGAAAATAAATACCGTTCGTGATCTTTAGGCGTCAGTTCTCACCAGCGAACCATATGCCGTTTTAAATAGGGGCTAGTGAATTCAAATGAAATAAAGGTGCACAGATGAGGCCACGACTATCGTATCTTGAAATTTTACTGAGCCAGCATGTTCATAAAATAATAAAAGTACAACCCTCCTATAACTCGCATAGATTTTAGCGCGAAACAAACAATACTATGACCTTCAAAAACAGTCGGCAGTTCAGTGCCAAGAGCACTTATGGCACTGATGCCCGAACCAGCCCAAACAGCATTATGGTAGAATGTATCGCCCCCAAAACCTTGATAATATTTTTCTTTAGAGAACCTACGTAGGCAAAACTAACGGCATTAAAGTATACAGCGTTCATATTAATCACTGTCACAAAGAGCATCTAACTTGGAGTACCCGAATGTACGTGTATTTAGCCCCCATGTGTTTGCCGTCACTGTGGCGGGAACAGAACGTAATAATTGTGGGGGCTTTCCGCACCAAGAACACGATGCCATTACGAGGGACGCCACAGTGAAGCACTCCGTAAACTTTGACCCCCGAAGGTTTAATAAAGAGGCACTGCAACACTTTTTCAAGCAACCATCAAATAGCTTCACCAAAGTGGGATGAGGGTTTAGAAAAAAAATGAATATCGCATTAATGAAAATTGCCATACACATGTATCATTGCATGAACACTTCAATCATAAAAGCATATCTCAAACCCCGTTTATAAAGGGAAAAAAATGTCAAATTTACACATTGTACTTAGGTAATTCTTTAGGCTCTTTATAGTACCTAATACAAAAACTTAGATTTAAAAATTAAATCTTCTAAAAGGTTCACCGTCCAGGCTAAAGTAAACTCGATGTCAGAACAGCCATACCCTTAATCACACTTTTAAAACCGAAAATGAGCTACCAGTAATTAGCTGCCATTCATGAAATGTTTACAAATAAGTCAACGTGGAAAAAGACCAAAGGCTGTTGCTTGATTTGTTATGTGAGGTTTAACTTACCAAAACTACCATAAGATTATGACAGACGCCGTGGTGGAGGGCTCCGGAAATCTTTACCACCTGGGGTTCTTCAGCGAGCACCCCAGTCTTAGCACATGTGCCTAAGGCATTTTCGCCTTCATCAAAAATGAACCCGCCACAGCCGGGATTCAATCCCGCCAACTGGGGTTCAGCAGCCAAGTACGTAAGCCACTAGATCACCGCCACAGGGTAGAAAGATTAGCCTGTAGATCGAGTGCTTCGGAAAAGAATGATACCAAGTTTGTTTAAATACATTCGCAAACTAACTGAGCTTCCGTAAGGCCGATAGAGCTCATGAAAGTGGCGCCAAAAAGTTTCGTGATTAGAATAAAAACCATTCGCAATTTATTGAGCCTGAAAAAAAAGAAGAGATATTTTGCCATACCATTTTTGCAGAGCACTTCAAATTGTGATTTTGGAAAAGCTACCCTTCTTCATTTCTATTTTATGAATGTTTAAATCAATGTCATGCCTTAAAAGAGTTCGTTGCTTCACGAATCAAACGCCCCAAACATATTTGGAATTCGCCAACTGGGAGCAGAGTTGCAGAAATAGCTTGCACAGTGTAATCACTTCCTCTTCTCGCGTCCCGACCAGCGCGTTAGAAGCTACACTGGCAGGCACGGCAGATACCAAAAAAAAAGGTACATCGTGTGCCATATGAACTTAAGCTTTTTTGCTTCAAGTGCGTGGCTTACATTTAGTGTGATCGTCAGAGCACGCGGGGGCATGTGGCAGCATCCCGCAGTGGCCATGGTAGCTATGCAGCTTACGATGCTCAAATCAGCCAGTGGTAAAGAATTCGAACATGCGGCATTTTCATTTGGGCATATGGCATAATTTGTAGAAAAGAGCGAACAATTTCTATTTGAAATTTGTAGTTGCGCGCAGAGCTATAACTTATGGCGTCCGTATTCTCAGGGGCCTAGACTACCATACACGCTCGAAAAACATGAGAGCCGCTCCAGCACGCACCTAAATTTAACTGTACACTTGCCAATCGCGTTTCGAATCCACTCACTGCAGTGCACTATGTTTACCTGGATTCCGAAGTGACTGCAGAGGAAAAAGTCGAAGTCGAGCGGGTGCGTGACCACCGTGTCTACGGTGGTGCCAGGCGGTACGTTGCGGCACTTGCCGACTCCCTCTCGCTCGTTGGCTGGCATAAACCGCGTGTGGTGGCGCTTCTGCACCACGATAAACGTCAGGGGAGGCTCGTACGTATCATTCGGAGACATCTCCTTGCATGCCAGGCGGATGGCGCTCACCTGCAATTTAAGAAAGGATTCCTCATTTCAAAGCGTTCGGCCAATCGGATTTGGTACAAAGTTTTTGTTATTTCGTGCCGGCGAACGAAACTTTTTTTTTCTTTAGAACGAGAAGTTAGTGAAATTGGTTTCATTGGATCAATTTTTAACGACAGTAACTGCATGCGTTTTAAACGACTCAGCCTTCGGCTTCACCTTCACTACAACGTGATATTGTGCTTTGACATGCCATTGCCAATACCATTGGAACAATCGCCGACTGTAAGCATTTTAGTGAACAATTGAAGGTACTTATTATCTTACGACGGTTTTACTTGTATGGAATACCGTTTGAGGTTTGTGTAATGCTCTTTGAACTTTACTTTGTTAGGTTTTCATATGTTTATTATTAGCAGTCAGCCTATCAGAAGCGCTGTAATAACGAAGTACTGATACCACTCACCTCTCGGTTTCGCACTTCGAGGAACTGGCTCTCGCTAACGCCGTCCCGGTAGAAGATGATGCGCTGCGGCTTCTGCCTCGTGGAGCGATAGAAGGCCCTGAGCAGGTTCTTGACCATCTCCTTGAGGTCCTGGATGATCTCTATGTGCCCCTTGGCCTTCTCCGACCCCATCTGCACGCGGATGGAGGTGCTGAACTTGGACGGGGTCGCATCCAGACTGCCCACGCAGGCAGCGATCGATGGGCGGATCCAGTCACCGGGCGAAGGGTGCGAGACGTCGGCGCCAATCACAATCACGGGCGTCCGGAACAGCAAGGGCTTCTCCTGCAACAGCAGGCTGTTGTTGGTTCCGCCCATTTTGGTGTTGATCTTCTGCAACAGGTTCTGCACGAGTGGTACGTTGCACTTCCAGATCACGTTACTGTCGAGTATGCACTGCGTGCGCAGTCCCAGCTCGGTCTCTGCCACCTGCTTGATCTCGGCATAGTTGGTCGACTTGGCGAGGATGATGACGACCATCTGAAGCCCGCTGTGATTCTTAAGCTGCTCGTCAAGGATGAACCGGATGGAACGACTGTTAGGGTTGGCCGCCGAAATGGCAAGTGGCTGGGTGATGTGCATGCCCAGTTCTTTGCCGATGCGGAGAAGCATTTTGACAAAGTTGTCGACGCTGTCCCGCTGCACTAAGTGGCTCATGCTTACCACCGTCCAGCAGTCCATGGTGGCTGGGTTGTAGAAGTGCTGGCCCCGAAGATCCCACGTGCCGTCGCGCGGCTTGCTGACCTTGTTCTGCTCGAACACCAATGACGGAGGGTCGAGAACACGACCTCTGAGCTGCGTCGGATTGGTGTTGATCTTGATGCCGAATTCACGCAGGTAGTCCTTGGAGGTGTTCACCAGGTCGTGCACCGACTGGCGGATTTCCTGTGAGAAGGCACGAAATTTCTATTCTTGGTTTTGCAACCAAAAAACATTCTGGACGTCATGCACACGTTTCCACCAGAGACTAACTTATGTCAAGACTCACGGCTACACGTCATCCGCGGTTCACGCTGTAAGCCTGTCAGTGTTTGCGTTGGTCTTCCAGAAATGCTGCCACGTGTGAATGGCGGGGGTTGTACATATCTTTTTGATGAAATAATGTAAGCCGAATGTCAGTGGCAATATAGTCAACAGTTTCTCTTGTTCCGTGTTAATTTACTGCTACCGATATCATTAGCACCAGATTGCCCGGTTCACTATCTTCTAGTCATTCCCGTTTGGTTGATCTTTTTCATTTAGGCTGAACCTAGGGATACCACACACAAAAAGTAAAATGAAACAACGAAGCGGCGTCATGGCCTATAGTGAAACATCGCAATAAAACTGTATTTCGTACGATTACAGTCGTCGCGATGCGTTGTGCTTGGACGTCAATTGGCACAAATTTTCTACATGGACTTCCTCTAAAAACAACGAACAAGTGTGCACTTGTGATATGAAGTTATGCCTCAAAATCTGTGTCGTTCACTACGTACTTGTGTCAAATCAAGAATATAAAAATTACTTTGCTTGAAAATCTGAGCATGTATAACACTACACCAACGAGTTATGCTAAAGAGACTCCGAGTTACTGTTAACGAGTTCCGACTTGTCGCATATAAAACTCTTTCGAAGATATGCTGTACCTTTTGGAGAGTCGCACATCGTAAAGAGTGTGAGTAATTATGAAGGTGTTCGTAAAATGTAAACCTTTATAGCGCTCAAGAGTCAGGACCAGATGTCCGCATCGTAAGAGGCATGCGCAAAGTTCTGCATAAGGACGAGCCATTTTGCAACGTTGGTAACCGATCATTTGTTAAAATGCATTCCTAAATAATCGAAAGAAAATTATTGGTAACTGCTAGGTGCCCTTATGACACATCTTGGGTCACACTGTATTGGTACGATACCTGAAATCTCTTGGCAGGCGGCTTGGATGTGCACTTGATCATCTTGGTGGTCTGGTTCTCGTCGAGCTTCTTGCGGCAGTGCTGGCCCTCGACCAGCTCACACACCTCAAAGGGTATATACACCGGATGGTCGAGCCGGCCGCACTGCACGCACGGAAAGTGCGGGTACTGCAAGGGAGCGTAACGCTGTCCGAAGTATTCGGACACCGTGAGAGTGGCCCCATCTTCGGTGTCAAAAGAGATCGCCATCGCTGACCTCCTGGTGACACGCACCACCTTGTATTTTCGTGGGTAAGACAGGTGTGTAACTTTGACGCGTAAACCCTTGAGCTCTTTGTTGAGCCGCGTGTACTGGTACTGTGTGAGTGACCGGAACTCAGAGGGCGTCATGACGCGTCTGCCGCTGTCACTAAATATCTTGCACATGAAGCTGACCAGGGGCAACGGTTCGTAAAAAGCGGTCGCCGACACGTCTAAGTTCAGCATGGGCTTCCACTGCGCCGGCCGCACGCTCGTGTAGTAGCCGAACCAGACTTCGCGGCCACCGCCCAACGTGTAAGTGTCGTACGGTGGTGTGAAGAAGCTACGCCCCACTGGCGTCAGTTTAATCGATGGTCCGTGGCGTACCACGGTGTCGATGGCTTGTAGCACCTCCTGGGGCACATTGCTGACGCGATGCTGGTACATGGCTTGCAGGGCGTCAAGGTTGACCGTGGCAGCGTACTGTACCTTGACGGTGAACCTCTGAACACGGCGGCCCTCCTCCAGGTCGACGGCGAAGATACGCTCACGGAAGTTGAGCTGACGTCGCGTATAGAGATTCTTGCGACCGTCGAAAGCCGGGATGCAGTTCGAGAGCTCGCCTTGATATTTTTTCACGAGAAGTTCGATGATTGTGCGATTAATCCTTGTGCTTAAGCAGCGGTACTTTTTCTGCTCGGGCACCTTGGCTGCTTTCGTGGAGGTCTCAGAGCATATCTCGACGTCATAGTGGTATACGTTGCCGTTTGGGATGTCGACATCAAAATGGTTGGTGACCAGCTGGATTAGGCGGCCTAGCGTGCCATGGGCTGGACGCCGAGGGAAGTGTGACGGAAGGCTAAGTGCAATTTCCTGTGAGACAGTTATAACGTGCGACAGGTATTGTGAATCAATTCTCACATTTGAAGTGGTTTCTAACCAAACCTATATATTACTGGAACAGGTACAAGTGACCAATTTCAATTATTTACTTTGAAGTATGAATAATCTCGATTACCATTTCTTCCTTTAAAATTTAATTTTAGTGTTCATTTACAGCCTCATAAGCGTAACTAACTGAGCATTTACAGAAATGCAGCAGATTACTTTGGAGTTATTCTCGTTCAAAGATTTATTGCCGTAACACCATATCTCAAGGTTAACTCAAACTACAACGAATTATTGCGGCTTACGCAGTTGATAAAACGCTGGGAGGCTTAATGTTGACTTTTTGAGTACAGTGTTACAAGCCAAATTTCAACAGGAGTTTTACAAAGCTTTCATCCCTAAGATTTTTGCATTTATTCGTTTAAAGGCTAGCTGCTGCACTTAACACAGTGCAATTACTAGAGAAAATGGTGCTTTTGGGACGTCAGAACATATTGGACATCAGGGCACAGTTGTGCAGTGATTCAATGTTAGTGTCCAAGTCCTATCAATGCTGCGTTTCGCAGTTGCTGCAGACTTCGAGTAAGGCATTGCAAATAACTTCTAGAAAAGTTTTTGTAAGCGCTGCCCGCCTGACAGGAGGAATTTATAAAGAGCGGCCGCACATCTTTCAGGACGAAGACGACGAAACTGTTTATAAACCATGCATTTCCGGTACACAATTACAAAGAAAGAATTGCGGAGAATGTTATAGCACCCACGTAATAATCGATTTCAAAATGATACGAGACAGTGACTGATTACAATTTGTTGATTACTTATACCGCTTTCCGTACTACTGTTTCAAAAACGCAAAACACCAACTTTTGCACGATCAATTCGCAGAGAGTTCGTAAATAGTTCACCCACCTATTCAGTCTTAGTTTGAGCTTTGCGCGATACACTTTAGAACAGAGGTCTCAAGCATGCGGGTTTTTCGCTAGTGTCCCGGCTTCGCACATACCTGGCTTCATCATATTTTTTCTTCATATCTTGGAGTATGCGCATGAGCTACAGCAAATCTGGTTTCCAGTATTTTTTTTTTCTGAATAATCCCACGTGGTGACCATTTGCAAAAAATTTCATCATTTTGAAGATTGCTATCGATACCTTTTTTTTGAATTCTGACACACAGTTTCATTCAGGGATAACCCAATAAAATACAGGAAAAGGCCGCCTTTTCAAATTCAAAGTTAACAGATAAGTTTTGCCAGATATTCCACTAATACGAGATAGACTGAATATTACGTGAATTCAGATTTGCAGGTTATGTTCAAGTAACAGCTCAAAAACTCCAGGAAGAGACAAAAAAGTAAGCTCTTGTTCAGATTAGCAGTTTTGTGCTTAAGAGAACACTGACGCGACTTTAAGGCACCCGAAAAGGGATACGTTTCACATCTATGGCGGGTAGTATCAATCCTTCCCACTCAATGGATCCAGACGACGCGCATAAAAAATTTTATTTCGCGCCTCGCCGCTGTGGTGTAGTGGCTGAGGCACGGCACTCGGCTGCTAACCCGAAGGTCGCCGAATCGAATCCCGGCTGCGGTGACTGCATTTTCGATGGGGGCAAAAATGCTCTGGGCCCGTGCGCTCAGGTTTGGGTGCACGTTAAAAAACCCCTCGTGGTCAAAATTTTTGGAGTCCTCCATGCGCTACGGCGTCTCTCATAACCATAAGATAATTGTGGGACCTTAAATCCCACGTTTCTAACATTTTGTATGCATTGTAAAGTTAGCGTCGATCAGCACAACCCCCCCCCCCCCCCGCCTCTGTGGATTATTGCAAGTGAGCACAGTTTACCGGCTTTGCGTTTTCTGCCTCCTGCATGCAGCATAACAAGCATAAGCTGCTAACTAATTCTCGGTACTGTCATTATATCGTCGTTTGCGTGAACCACAAGCGATTGAGCTGTTGCAGCTGTTGCAAGTAGGTCACGAGTTTGTCTTCCCGTGACGTTAGACTTGTGCTCTCGCGTCACTGCGAAACCGGCCTTTCTATCGAAAACTATATTGCTGTTTCAAGGTAGCGATATAAAAATGTATTCAATGCATATTTAAGTATTATGATACTCGGTAAAGTTCGACAACCGTGTGTTCGTTTAAAGCAACAATGAGAAAACATTTACAATTCGTGTGAGTGGCTGCCTGCGTGCAGATATTTTACTTTGATTACACTTACCGCCATGTGCATTTCGTCCATCGGTGACCCAGTGGAGGTCACGGCGAGCTTAGCTTCGGTTTTGGGTGGCGTCGTCGCCGGCGGAGAGGTCGGAGACAGGGAACCGGGCGGACTGCCCACGGCAGTGCCACCCGCCGTTGTGGAGTTGCCGTTGCTGACGAGGCCATTGCTGCGGCCGTTCGCAGTGGCCGGGGACTCATCGGCAAACTGCTGTCGAAGTGGTTGCGCGAACCCGTTGCATGCACCAGCCACCGGACGGGAGGCTGCGATGTGTACCGGAAAGACGTGGTGATATTAAAGTTAAGCGATGTCGTACTGATCTGAGGGGTATTTGCAAATACAAAACAAAATGCAAAAGAACCAGACAGGATGAGCTTAGACTTCAGAAAAGTACCTATACCGAAAATGAAGAGTTAATTTCGTACACGAAAAAGCAACAACGACAGAGAAACGCACCTGTGAAAACAGTTTAAGAACCGCGATCACCTCAGAGACCAATACCATAACAAAAAAAAAAGATATCTATTGCGCCAGAAGTTCAGAAAGCTGAAAAAATGTGGTGAAACAACAAAGATTATACCAAGCAAGCACGTGCCTGCCGTTGTGTTTTCCCTGCACCAAAGACTTATCGAGATAATCCAGTTCACTGTTTAGTGGGTTAATAGATGGCTTGCTGATGCATGTGGTAGTATTGGTGGATATGCGAGCCTTTGATTAATGCCTCAATTATCTATTATTTTTTTTCGCTGATGGCAAAGAACGATGGTTTCGGTGAGCATTGCTTTAGTGCTTTATGTGTTTTGCGCTTGCAAGTGGCTTTATTGAACAGCTGAAATTTGCTAAGGTCGTTCGCGGGCTAGTTTGGTGTAATTTGCAAGGTGTAGGTTATCAACAGGAAAAAAATACACACAGTTATAGGCCTAATTTCAAATAATGGTTTCATTCGAGAACACGCAAGCTGTTTACACACTAAGAAAATATCAATAAAAACCTAAGGAACATGTCACGATAGGGCAAAGAGTGCGCACGTGTTATCACTAATCACGCAAGTATCTGCAGTCACCTACTTCAAAGCGATAACTCTAGACACTTCTGTACCTTAGCCAGTAAAAGCTAAAGAAAAAACTGCATCTCTCTCTCATCTTTCCTATACTGTAGGCTTCATTTATTTCGTTGTTCTGTCTAGGGCCCAATTGAGAATACGCCTGCCACTACGTGTCCTCTGTCTCGCTCGTTATACTCTATGGCACATTAATTATTAACAGGAGACCAAATGCAGAGACACCACATTAATTAATAACTGGGCATTAAACACACAGTGGTGCACCGTGTTAAATCCATCGCCCCTTTGGTTGAGTCTAAGAAACTTAGCTGCGAAAGTGATGAGAAAAATGAAAAAGCAAAGACCTGCTTTTCCCAAAAGCCTATCAGTCTTTGGCGTGATGTTGGTAAAAACCATTCGCACAGTCACCGTGCAACACTTTTCCAACTAATCATGAAATCACGTCTTTATAGAAGTTAATTGCAGACGAATTATGTTCCGAAAAAAATTTTAGAGTTGGTCAAGTACAGGCGAAGATACAGGGGCACTCTCACACCACCATGTGCACTAAAACCAATGCAGAAAATAAGGGAGATAACAAGGGGGCATGATGAGGTGGCCCTTTGTCAGCACGCGTCATGATCTTTATCGAATTGTTCTTTTTTCTTCGAACGCGCTGCTTATTTTCACCGATTACAAGTGCGCTGGGGCAGGTGGAGGTATCCAGCAGCGGCCACAGTAGCTATGCAGCTCTCGATGCTCAGGTCAGCCACTTGCCATGGGCTGAGTTTACGGTGAGGTCATCTTGGTTTATGGCATTTCATGAGGAAATTAAGAGAACGGTTTCTACCTGAAAGAACTCTCGATTTGAAGTCACGTGCTGCGTCATAACGTTTGGCTCACGTGTTCTCTGAGAATGCCACTACCGATGCGCCGTGTTTTTTGACCATTCTAAAAGTGCTTCAGGAACCCTTCAAATGCAAAATCCGGAGGCTTCAGTCACCATGATTGTTAAAGTACGTGCATGGGAAATCGTCTGCGCGACATCAACAACAACAAAAAAAGAACGCGAAAGGTCGACAACGTAAACACATGGGAAGAACTCTAGCACCCTCATTTAGGTAATCAAGAGGGCCTGTCACCATAACTGTCTTTACAGCGGCCCACTATATGAGGCAAGTTGGAGACACCTGGTTTAGGCATATATTGTTTTTTGCACTATCGTGATTATCATCATGTACCTAGGACAATTTGACAATCAAATGAAGGTGGACGTTCCATTCGTGTAGGGGTGCGTATGCACATGCCCTCTCGGCGTATTTCTCAATATGACAGAGAACAAACCATGACACTCGACCCTATCTGCGTACCCGCCTACCACCTTGAATCAAGGTGGTCCTCGCCCTCGTTGAAAAGAAGAAAAAAAGAAATGCTGCCATTGCCCCTGTCATCGAAATACCTATGCGCGAATTGAAGTGCCAAAAGGCAGACTACTTAGTAAACGCCTCTAAAAAAATGAAAATGTTACGAAGAAAACCAAACATAAGGGTGGGTCCTTAAGTTTTCTTTGTTGTTATTACCTTCCTTCACACACTTGCGAACACAGATTAAGGAGTCCGCAGACACCGGAAATGAAGTTTTGTCATAACAAAATCCAAGCTCAGAAACCAAGCTTTCATCTCTTAGTCTCCTAAGGAGTGGTTACGATGATTGAGCATAAAACACGCAGTAGCTGTCTACCTATCTTCTCGTTCAAAGTCAAGACTTTCCGGTCCAGTTAAAAAAAACAATTTTAGCAAGTTCAAAGCTGTCTGCCATGTCTAAACCTTTTAGTACCACCGCGAAACGCACAGCGCGAACGCGCCACCATTTTCGCGCAAACGACCTTCGACCCGGCAAAGCACGCAAGCTGAGCGTGGGGCTTCGGGCGTGAATGAAACAGGTGTAGGTAGGCACCAGCGAAAGTGTGCAGACCACGAGATCGCCAGGCAGAAGGCATCAATGCGCTATCTAGCGACATGACACCTGCTACTGTGTGCATGTGCGTCCCGTCGTATCAGTTGGCTTCTAATGTCGCTCGGTCTGACGTGCGAACGCCGCTCGTAGCTGGAACGAAAACTGGGTGTTGGTTTCTTTGCAGCATCGAATTTGTGCCTTTATATTATGTAGCGACTGCGACGGGGCCGGTTGCAACCACGAGCTAAGGTTTGTCTTATTTAGGCAATTTTTTCTCGGGTAAGTTATAGCATGGCCAAAAATGCCAAATTAAATTTGGCTATACTTGATCTATCTGGGTGTGTTGGAGCTTAACTTCACCCATTGTGAAAACAACAAGCTAAACTCGGCTGAATAAACCTAAAACACCTAACTATCAGGTGATACCATGCTCAACAACGTTTGCTTAGTTTCGGCTACACTTACAATGACTTAATTAGGCTCAATTAGGTTGGCCTAAACCGACAAGGCAAGCTAAGCTGAGAAAACTTATTTTTGTGTTATTGGCTTCATCAGGTTGTGGGATACTAGGTTTGATTACTCATGCCAACCAATCAGGGTAAATAACGACACGAGCCAGTTGCTTGAAGCCGCCCCGTCGCAGCTAGTATGTAAAAGAACAGGGAGTTTTAGAATACCATTTGCAAGCGCTGCGGCTGTTGCGGGCGCCATTAGAGTTTTAGAATAGCTTAGAAGTGTGGCAGCTTGGGCTAGTTGGTGTGACATGACGATAGTTATAGCGCGAGAACAAAACGACGACACAGAGACAAGTGTCTTTCATGTCTTTCTTGTCTGTGTCGTCTTTTTGTTCTTGCGCTTTAGAATAGCGTTTGCCCTGCTGCGAACCGCAACGCACGATCACAGCGACACCATAGCCTCGAAACCAGTGCTTGCGGGCCACACGCGGGCCGCCATTACCAGACGCAATTTCGGATTTTCTGCGTGCGCTCCGCGAACACCAACTCGCGTTACGACGCATGCGCAGTGGCAGCGACCGTACCGCAAGGGCTCATGGTGCGCTATTCTAAAACTGCCTGATACCAGAAATTTGATAAAGCAAAGAAAGTGACACATAGCAGTTTTCGCTGCGAGCGCCGTCCCGCGTCAGACACAGCGACACGAGAGGCCAACTGATACGACAAGACGCACATGCGCACAGCAGCTGGCTTCTTGTCGCTAGATCACGCGTCGATGCCTCCTGTCGAGAGATCCCATGGTCTTCACACTTTTGCTTAAGCCTGTACAGTCGACCACAAAGGTTTGCGGACCATTGCAAGCATGTGTGAAGCTGACTGCCCGCGCCACATAGCGGTGCGCCGTCTTCCGCCGACCAATGCTAAAGGCCAGAAACAGCTCTTGTTATCCAGTGGCCTATTAACTTTTCTACTGCCGTGAAGCGCATTGTTCGCAGTTTTCATGTGGAACGCTTATGTGTAGTAAGATGGTTACATTTCTATTTTCATAGCAAGATTATCGCTATCATGGCGTGCCTCATCGAAAGGCGTTTTTTCGGCTACGTATCGCTTCGTGTAAAAGATTGTGACTGATAAAAGTTATGCTCAAAAACTGCTCTGGGCCAGATGCCAAAAAGCGCGTCGTGTTAAAAAGCGCAGTTAAAATGATTTAAAATCAGTCAGAAAACACAGGCCACAGATTAAAGGCCCACCCGCATGCACGCAATTTTCTAGTGATAAGCGGCAGCGAAGAGCGATAGTATTCGCTGTCGGGGAGGCCCATCCATCGCCGCTGCTTGTCTCGTCCCGCGTTTCTGTAAAAGTAGAAAAGATCGCTTGTCACCGGGAAGCCGGCGGTGCGATTTCCGGGAACATGGCTGAGCACCTGGTTTTCGTCTCGGTTGCGATTCGCTCTCGATGTTTGTTATCCGTGTGTACTTGAAGGAATGCAGGTATCGACCATCTTTTTGACATTCGCATCTCAAGCGGAGAGATATGATTTGATTTGTGGGGTTTAACGTCCCGAAACCGCGCTATGATTATGAGAGACGCCGTAGTGGAGGGCTCCGGAAATTTCGACCACCTGTTCAAGCGGAGAGATAGAACGGCCGTATTTTGCCACAACTATCATTGAGGAAGGGTTGTCTTGAATTTTGACGGTAGGTTGTTACAAATATGGCCGCTTGCTGCAATGTAACATTATAATGCGAAGTGCGTCGTAGCCGTCATTCCATACGCATTTTGACACCCAGTCGCGGCGAAACCAAAGATT